GACGCAGCCTTCGCCAGATGTTTGAAGTCCCGTGCCGGGAATATCCTCGTTATCCGCGGAAGTGTCAGCCTTCACCACCGTTACGCCTCTTCGCAGTAACCACTGATGGCGACGTCACCTAGAATAGTTTGGGCGTATTGCCACCTGCATATTCGTAAATTCTGTTTGTGCCAGTGCCGAAATCATTTGCCTTTGTCGGCAGGCTGACGCGAAACAAATTTTTTCGGAACGGCGGCATGGCTGTTGCAAATGTCATGGCAGTGCTGCCGATTCGTAATGGGATCTACGGACGCCACTTCGTTAATTTCAAGTCATTATAAACAAGTGAGCGTCGCTTAGCGAATTTCCTGATGTCGTAATTCTTCCTCCGCATTCTCCCAGTCTTTGGCGGAAGCGCAACAGGGCGTTCTTTCTTCAATAGCCGTCGTGGTAGCCGCCTGTTTGGGAATCCCTGACACCGATTGCTTCTTCCAAAGCGGGCGGAGGATGTCGTCTGTGATGCAGTACGCATCAGGTGTTTGAACGACGCTGGCACGCCAGCGCATGTAAGTTTGTAAAGAATCTCCGATAGAGCAGGGATTTCAAATTATCATTCGCCTTTCCCTCAAGGGGTGTCGTTGCGCCCGATGTTTTGCCGTTCTGTTGTTTAACTCATGTCATCATGGCGCGATTTTGCTGGCGTTAGTGCGGTCAGACTCCGCATGTTAACAGGTCCTCACCATTTTTTGATGTCCTTCACCTTTTCTTCGCCTCCTCGTGAGGTCATCGTTATTAGTCATTGCGCCACCAGTTACCTTCATTTTCGCCGGTTAATGATTGTCTTTGCTGCATATTACCGCGTGTCCCGCCACCGTCGATGCAGGTCATCACCGTCACTTCACAATATTGTCATCACTACTGGCTTCGTCTACTGCTTCCAGTCAATATCAGTCATCACCGGTTTCCGGCCTTTCGGTCGATACCGGTCACCCCATTTCTGAGCCGCATAAACACTATCTGCTGCTTCCGTTTCTCCACCTTTCCTTCTCTTTTCTTCCTCTCCGGTCTTCCTTCAGACATGACTGGCTACTTTGGGAGCTCACTGAGGGGAGGAGGGGCGAGGAGGTGAAAGCGAGTGAAGGTGATAGGGGAGAGGGAGTGGCAGGGGAGAATACTAATCTCGAATGAGTAGTCCTGGTTCCACCTCCACCCACCCCAACCTGTCTCAGCCTCATCTCTATTCTGTCTCATTCTGTCTCTAACTCTGTTCCTGGTTCCTGGTTCCTGTCTCCAACTGAAATTTGCCTGATCTCTGTTCTATCTCAATCTGGCCCCACTCCGAGCCTGGTCTATCCTGTCTCATTTCCCACCTAACTCACCTCCACACGCAGTGCTAATTTTCCAGTTTATTTTGATTCCGAGAGGAGACAAAATAGTTGCTCATTTCATACTCAGATGAGACTTTTGCCACCGAACCTCGAGGTGTGAGGAGGGAGGGAGGTGATGGAGGAGGAGAGATGGAAGTGGACTGATTAAGAAAATGAGGAAGCAGAGATTGATGGAGAGGGAGGTTGAATGATTTAGGAGAGAGTAGGAGGAGGAAGGAAGGGAGTGAAGGGTGGGGACATGAAATACGTGTTCGTGAAGTATTTTACTTACGGAATACTGGCCACTGCTGAGCAGTGCGTGTGTGTGTGTGTGTGTGTGTGTGTGTGTGTGTGTGTGTGTGTGTGTGTGCGTGTGCGTGTGTGTGTGTGTGTGTGTGTGTGTGTGTGTGTGTGTGTGTGTGTGTGTGTGTGTGTGTGTGTGTGTGTGTGTGTGTGTGTGTGTGTGTGTGTGTGTGTGTGTGTGTGTGTGTGGTGTGTGTGTGTGTGTGTGTGTGTGTGTGTGTGTGTGTGTGTGTGTGTGTGTGTGTGTGTGTGTGTGTGTGTGTGTGTGTGTGTGTGTGTGTGTGTAAACATCTACCTCAGAGAGTAGTGGGTGATGGCGGTGGCGTGATTGCAGTGCGGCGGCAGGCGCGCAGACAGAAGTAAGTGCAGTATATCAGTGGGATAGTGGGTGGCGGTGAGGACAGGGAGGCGGCGGTGGTGAGGACAAGTGACAGTGGCGGTGCAGACAGTGTGACAGCAGTGAAGTCTGCGGCGGCAGAATGCAGGCGACAGTAGCAGTGGCAGGCAGGACAGACAGGCGGACAGCAGCAGCAGTAGCGGTGGTGGTGAATAGCCAGGTGATGTAGTGGTGGTGGTGGTAGAATACAGTAGTGGTGGTGGTAGAAGGACAGGTGGGAGGTAGTAGTGGTGGTGGTGGTTGGTGTGATAGTGTGGTGGTAGATAGAGAGGTGTAGTGGTGGTAGGAGGAGAGGTGGTGGTGGTGGACAGACAGGTGGGACAGCAGTAGCAGTGGTGGGTGGGCAAGAATGGTGACAGGGTGATAGTGGTGGTGGTAGGACAGACAGGTGACAGTGTTGTGGTGGTGGGTTGCGATAGTGGCGGTGGCAGAAGGTGAGGCAGTAGTAGCGGCAGAAGGTGTCAGATGGCGTGGGAAGGTTGTAGTTCGACCGTCCATTTAATGTCGACTTGACACGTAAATATCTGTGTTCAAATGAACATATGCACGCCCAGATGCCTTCCCTTCTCTCCTTCCTCATCAGAGTGTGATTTTCTCTCTTCTCTTCTTCTCTCATCAGTATAGGGATCAACACTCTTCTCTCTCTCTTCTCTTCTCTCTTCTCTTCTTCTCTTCGTTTTTCTCCTCTTTTTCCTTTTGTCCTTCTTTCTTTATTCTTCTATCTACAGCCCTCTTTTTCTTCCTTCCTCATCTCTTTTTCTTCCTTCTTTCCTAAACATTTCATTACGCAGCCATTCGGTAATGTGATTGAGTTTGAATTGAATCTTCGTTTCATATCTATTTCATCAATGAAACCCATAGTGATTTCAAATGCGCATCATTATTGTCATTGGTTGTTTGCGCGAGCGACGCTGTGTGCTGGCCGGTGAGTCGCCTGCGCCGGTGAGTGATCGCGGGGTGAAGACCGGGGTTGTTTTCGAAGCTGGTGAGCGATTCTTGTGATTTGGTGATAATATAGTATCTCTATACTACTGATAAGGTATGTGAGTAATTCCACCTAGTTTCGGTTTCCATCCGGGGTGGGATAAAGTTCAATATCTTGATGCTTCGAAAATATGCGAGTGCGGAAGAATATGGCAAAACGCTTATGCCTTTCTGTTTATTTTGGGTATTGTCGTCGCCTTCTTCCCGGTTATTTTCAGCCGACTTCAAATTTTTCTCCTCATCAGGCGCAGTTGTGCGTGCAGCGGTTTCGAAAAACCTTTCGCCCGCCAGCCGACTTCGGGTTCCCGTGATGTCGTAAATGTCTGTAGTGTCATCCTCGGTGTTCCGGCCACATCGCCATCAATACGTCGCCATCTGCGCACGCAGGTGAGCTACCTGCGCACGCGTCCTTCTTACCTCTCGTCACTCTTTCTGGCTGTAATGTAGCCCTAGCCTGGGTCTCCGGACCAGTTCGTCAGGTAGGTGAAGTATCGCTTGGCCCAGGCGCCCGTTGATCGAGTTTCGGGGAGCCATGACCAGCCATATGTTACAGTGCCGGGGAAGCATGACCGTTTGTTACGCCAGCGTGCCGGGGAAGCTGCCACGACTGCGCCGAGGCTACAGTGCCGGGGAGCACGACCGCCGTGCCGGTTACACATCGCCATGCTTGCCAGTGCCGGGGAGTTTGCTACGACCGCCATAAGTACATGCGTGCCGGGGAGCCACCGCTATATAGCTGGCAGTGTGCCGGAGTTTGGCTACGACCGCTTGCTGGCCATGTGCCGGTTACGACCGTTCATAGCCACAGTGCCGCTTCACGACCAAATATAGCACAGGGGAAGTTTGTTACGACCACTATATATATGTTGGGAAAGATCAGCTTATAGTATACAGTGTGTTGGGAGCTGTTACGATCAGCTTATAAAGCTGCGACTGTTTATAAGCTGCTGCGTGCTGGGGATATTAATATCAGCTATATAGTTTGCTGCTGGGGAAAGTTTACATGACTGTTTATAGCTGCTAAAGTGGGGGGAAAGTTTATCGTGCTATAGTTGCTGCGGCTGGGAGTTTACATGACTGCTTCATACAGCTTTGGCTAATCGACGGTTCAATGCTTTACATAAACAGTCATGTAAACCCCAACACACCGTAAGCCATATAAAACAGTCATGTAAACTCCCCCAACACACTGTAAGCTATATAAAACAGTCATGTAAACTCCCAACACACTGTAAGCTAGTATAACAGTCATGTAAACCCCAACACACTGTAAGCTATATAAACAGTCATGTAAACTCCTCAACACACTGTAAGCTATATAAACAGTCATGTAAACTCCCAACACACTGTATGCTATATAAACAGTCATGTAAACTCCCCAACACACTGTGTTATATAAACAGTCATGTAAACTCCCCCAACACACTGTATGCTATATATAAACAGTCATGTAAACTCCCCCAACACACTGTAAACTATATAAACAGTCATGTAAACTCCCCAACACACTGTATGCTATATAAACAGTCATGTAAACCCCCAACACACTGTAAGCTATATAAAACAGTCATGTAAACTCCCAACACACTGTGCTATATAAACAGTCATGTAAACTCCCCAACACACCTGTAAACTATATAAACAGTCATGTAAACTCCCCAACACACTGTATGCTATATAAACAGTCATGTAAACTCCCCAACACACTGTAAGCTATATAAACAGTCATGTAAACTCCCAACACACTGTATGCTATATAAACAGTCAGTGTAAACTCCCAACACACTGTAAGCTTATATAAAATAGTCATGTAAACTCCCAAAACTCGATCCAACTACAGACGCCTGGGAGTAAACTGATCGCTCTCACTCACCTACCTGACGAAGACCTAAGTTCAGGAGGGAGGTTGGTGGACCAGATGAAGGGAGATACACATTACAGCCAGAAGGGTGTGGGGGTAGAGGACGTCATTACTGAAGCACAAGGTGTACCACCCTGGGATGTAGAAAGGATAGCGGCGAGGACGACGGCGATGGTGAGAAGATGATGGCGTTCCAACTCCAGGAACACTGGGGGGGCCCTGCCTCGGCCCCGCTGGTTGATTTGTCCCCGACCCTCGGGGTCTGGGGCCGGTCGGCGCAGGTTGTTACGGACGGTAGGACTGTGGGCAGACCACCGCCATATTGCACACTGTACCTGTGGGAGAAAAAGAACAGAGTCAGTGATAAAAATATTACCTGACAACATTTAACTGTAAAACAACACGACGAAGACAAGTGTAATGGAGTAAAGTAAACAAAGAAAAATAAGAATTTAGAAAGAGAAGAAAAAGACAACAGACGAAGGAAACTAACAACAAACAAAATACGTAAATACGTTAGAAAAGGAGCCAGGAGCCGGTGAGTCAAGACACGAGACAACATTCAATTGGACCAAAATAGTTGGGAGGAGGAGGCTGATTGCGACCCCAATACCGTCAACAAGAGGCAGCGTAAACGTTTCATATTTCCTCCCTTACTCATATTTTCCATCAAGCGGTTAACGTCGAGATATTGGAACTTTTTCTCACCCTGAGGTTAAAGGTGGCTTGTTTAGGTTAGGGTTAATTTTAAGGTTAGGTTAGGTTTCACATACTAACAATGGTAGTAAATATGATGCCTTGTGTTATCACTAAATCACAAAAACGTCACTCACCAACACCAGAGAAGACATCACTAACAACCCCACAGTCACTCACCAACCCCAGTCATCACTCAACACCACAGAAGACGTCACTACCAAACTACAGTCACTAATTACAGTCAACGTCAATTATAAACAATAATAATAGCCAATATTCACACATTTAGGAGGCCGTAACTCACTCAATATTCTGGAACCTATTGATGAAAAGAGCCTGTCTGAGGAAGAAGGATTTGTTCAATATTCAATTGCTAATCCAATCACATTTTTACCCAGTTATTGCATGAAATGAAATGTTAGAAGGAAGGAAGGAAGGAAGGATAAAGGAATGGAAGGAAAATAAGGAAGGAAGAAAGGATGGTAAGGTTAATCATGGTGATAGAGGTAAATAAAGAAAAAGAAAGGACAAAGGAGTGGGAAGAAAGTTAGGTAGGGAGGAAGAAACAGAGAGAGGAGGAGAGAGAGAGAGAGAGGAGAGAGAGAGGAGAGTGGAGTTGGTCCGAATTGAACCTCTGATGAGAGAGAGAGAGAGAGAGAGAGAGAGAGAGAGAGAGGAGGGGTGTTGGTCCTTACTGAACTTGATGAGAGAGAGAGAGAGATAGGTCCTGTATTGCATATATTTTATTTAGTACAAGATAATTTTATATGTCGTGTCGACGATAAATGGACAGTGATCTACACAACGCTGGGCTAACCTTCCCCACTGCCACATTCACTATCCTTCAAACCACTACAACTACCCACCTGTCCTTCCTTCACTACTACTACTATCCACCTTGTTCATCCTACCACCACCACTATCCACCTGTCTATCCCACCACCACAACTACTACTACTATCCACCTGTCTATCCCAACACCACCACTATCCACCTGTCTGTATTCTGCAAGACACCACTACTACTAATTTACTATCCACCTGTCTATCCTACCACCACCACTACTACTATCCACCTCTATCCTACCACCACTACTACTATCCACCTCTCTGGCCACTGCACCACTATCCAATTCGTCTATTCTGCCACTCTGTTAATTACGTACTATCCACCTGTCTATTCTGCCACACCACCGCTACTACTATCCAATTGTTCATTCTACCACCACCACCAATACTATCCACCTGTCTATTCTGCCACCACCACTACTACTACTTTACTATCCAATTGTTTATCCTACCACCACCACTACTACTATCCACCTGTCTATTCTGTCACCACCACGACTAATACTACTATCCAACTGTCTATCCTACCACCACCACTATCCACCTGTCTATCCTATCACAACCACTATCCAATCTGTTTATCCTACCACCACCACTATCCACCTGTCTATCCTACCACCACCACTACTACTATCCACCTCTATCCTACCACCACCACTATCCACCTGTCTATTCTGCCACCACCACTACTACTATCCACTTGTTTATTCTGCACCACTTCACTACTACTATCCACCTGCCTATCTCTACCACCACACCACACTATCCAATCTGCTCATCCCAACACCACTACTGTCCTGTTGGGAATGGGATTATGGTTTGTGGACACACACACACACACACACACACACACACACACACACACACACACACACACACACACACACACACACACACACACACACACACACACACACACACACACACACACACACACACACACACACACACACACACACACACACACACACACACACACACACACACACACACACACACACACACACACACACACACACACACACACACACACACACACACACACACACACACACACACACACACACACACACACACACACACACACACACACACACACACACACACACACACACACACACACACACTACCAACGATGAATTTGAAAAGTAATTCCGTAAATTGAAATAATCTTCACGAACACGTATTTCATTGTCCTCCCTTCCCTCCCTTCCCTCCCTTCTTCCTTCCTCCTCCTACTCCTCCTAAATCATTCACTCTCCCTCTCCATCAATCTCTACTTCCTCATTTCAATCAGTTCACTTCCATCTCTTCCTCTCTCACCTCCCCCTCCCCTCCCTCCACCTCGGGTTCAGTGTAGAAAAAAAAAGTCTCGTCTGAAATTGAAAATGAATAGCTCTGGACGCAGTTCATTATCTCGGGAATCAGAGAAATAAACAAGAGAAATTAAGCACCGTGGCGTTAGGTTAGGTTAGGTTAGGATAGGATAGATAGGTTAGGTCAGGTCAGGTTAGGTTAGGTTAGGTTAGGATATAGGATAGGATAGGTTAGGTCAGGTTAGGTTTGGTTAGGTTAGGTTAGGTTAGGGTTAGGTTAGATAGGATAGGATAGGATAGGATAGGATAGGATAGGATAGGTTAGGTTAGGTTAGGGTTAGGTTAGGTTTGGTCTCATGATCAGTGTGTTGAACATTTTAACGAGATTGAGTAAATTTTTTTATTCACATCTCACTCCCCTACCCAGCCTCTCCTCTCTATCACCTTCCCTCCTTTCCACACCTCCCCCTACCATCACCAACCTCCCTCAAGGTTGAACCATCAGCCAATTTAGGGAGGGATGAAAAATCTTAGTCGTGGAGCCAGTCTGAGAAAATCCAATACAGAGACACGTGGAGGAAGGGGTGGAAGAGGAGGAGGAGGTGGAAGAGGAGGGAAAGAAGGGGAGGAGGAGGAGGTGAAAGAGGAGGAGGAGGTGAAAGAGGAGGAGGAGGAGGAGGAGGAGGAGGAGGAGGTGGATGAGGAGGAGGAGGAGGTGGATGAGGAGGGGAGGAGGAGGTGGATGAGGAGGGAGGAGCAGGTGGGAAGAGGAGGAAGGGAGGAAGAGGTGGAAGAGGAGGGAGAGAAAGAAGAGGAGGGAGGTGGGAGAGGGAGGTGGAGGAGGGGAGGAGGAAGGAGAGGAAGCAAGAAAATTGGGTAAGGAGGAGAAGGAAGGAGGGAAAAGAAGGAAGAGGTGTAAGATGGATAGTAAAGGGGGAGGGGTTGGAGGTCTGCGTAGAGATGGTGGTGGTAATGTTAGTAGGTGGTGGTGGTGGTGGTGGTGGTGGTAAGGTAGTAGATAGTAGTAGTGATGGCAATGGTAGTAGGTGGTGGTGGTGGTGATACCATCCTACAGTCGACCGAGGGAACAACACAGGGGACCCTGCTGCAATGGCAATGTATGCACAGGGCCTATCAGTGCTCCAACAAGAAATAAAGTATGAAACAACTGGGGTCAAACAAGTGTATATATGCATGACCTCACAGGTGATAAAGTGGAGGACATCAAAAGTGGTGGACCTGGTAAATATCGCGAGGTCCAGAGGTAGGGTGTTCACCCTAACGCCAGCAAATCTTTCATCGTGAAGCCAGATCATTATGATCGGGCTGTGGAGGTTTTCGGCGAAAGTGAGGTTAAATAATCCAAGGACGGCCAAAGACATCTAGGCGCAGTAATTGGGCACTACGGACTTCAAGACCCAGCATGTAGGGGAAAGGTGAATGAGTGGGTTAGCGAACCATGCTCAATCGGAGATTCTAACACAGAGCCACATGCGGCCTTTGCAGCATTCCACCCATGGAGTCAAGCATCGTTGAACTATCCTGATGCGTACCATCCCTGAGATCCGACCTCCTCCACCCTTTGGAAGAAGCAATCAGTGTCAAGTTCATTCCCAAACTAGTGAAACACCACGACTTAACCCTAGTAGAAAGAACACTTCTTGCACTTCCACCAAGACTGAGGGATGGGACTAACTTAATCCAGAGGAGATTGTTGACTCTGAACATCAAAATTCACTTAAGCTCACGGCAGCCCTCACTGACCACATAATAGCCCAGAATGCAACAGGGAGGACACCAGCGAAGTATAAGATCCGTAGGTCCATTACAACAGATCGGCAGCACTGCCAAATGACATGTTGCAGCAACTATTGCTGCTGGTTCCAGAAAATTTGAAAAAAAAGTAGCTATAGCGCAGGAGGTGGGCGCCTTCGAACTGGTTAACTACGTTACCGATAAGGGGCAAATGGTTTCAGCCTTAACAAACAAAGAATTTACAGATGCCATTGCTCTAAGGTACGGTTGGCCAGTAGATGGTTTGCCCTCCCAATGCGTGTGTGGCTATTCCTATGATGGCGATCACGCCATGGTTTGCAAGAAGGGGGCTTCATATGCATGAGGCATGACGAGGTAAGGGATCTCACAGCAAATATGTTGAAGGAAATCTGCCGGGACGTCATGGTAGAACCGACCCTCCTTCCACTGGATGGCGAGATCTTCCAACACAGGACTTCAAACACATCTAACGAAGCCCGTGTGACGTCAGTGCTCGAGGATTCTGGACGCGGGACAGCGAGCTTCGACATCAGGATTTTTGATCCCATGGCCGTTTGTCACCGTAACCTAGCTCTCGATGCTGCGCATAGGAGGAACGAGAACGACAAGAGAAGGGCATATGGGGAGAGAATTCAAAATGTTGATCAAGGCAGCTTCACTCCTCTAGTGTTCACAACCCTGGTGGATGGGCCCAAG